CTATAGATTGAAAAAATTCCATTTGCACTATCATAAAAAAATTATTACGATTTTTTTTTTATATAATAATTCAGAAACAATTATTATTAATTTAATTTTTCTATTATAACACCAAATTGAAGAACAAAATTATCAGTTTTCAATATTTGGTTGTTTGAAGATTAAAATTTTGTGTGAAAAATTTGCTTTAAAATTTAAAATTAAAATTATGGCAAGTCTTTATTGTACATTAAGCAATTAAAAATCAAATATGTGTATGTGCAAATAATTAAGTAAAATATAATTAAAACACACTAGAAGTAAAATTTTCAAGTAATTTTTCTTATTTTTTTCTGATATTTAACTAACACATTGCAAATGACCAAGTCACTAATTTTAATTTTGAAAATTGTAAAAACCTTACACGTACATTATTTCAAATATTAAATAAACCTATGTATACTAGCTTTAATATATATATATATACATTGAAAGTTATGTAAAAGAACACTATAAGTTTTACCATCATTATAATTATGTATTATATAAATTTTAACGTATGGGTTTGGGCAAAACATTAGCCACTTCTACTTAAAATAAAGTCATTTAAAATTATTTAAGGAAACTTGCATTTTTACAATATTCACCTTTTGTTTTTTATTTTATTTTTATTTCGTATAATATACAAAATGTTTAAGAATAGATACCTACAATTTTTCCCTCGTTTCCGCCAAATTTTACTGTGAAATATAAAAATATATTCAATATATTTTCCAATATGTTCAATAATTTTTGTCAAAGAAATTACAATAAAAAAAAAACAATCAACCGAATCTATGATCTCGTCGGAGGGGGAGAATTTAAACATTGTATTTCAACATTAAAGGAGAATAAAACCGAATTCTATTTTAAAAACTAGAATAAAATTTTGAACTTCCCCAGAATTGCACATTAACTATATTTAAAAAAATTTCCGTCTTATTCGCCTTAATCCAAATGTTATTAAATTCCTATACAATATAAATAAAATTTACTAAAACTTTAGTTTTTATTTTCTTTACTTTATATAAGTTATTTTTTTTTTAGATTCATTAAATTTTTCGACTTTATTTTTTATTTTTTAAGAAAATAAAAATTTTAATTGAATACAGGTTAAATACAAATTGTTGTACCTTATCGCTCACAAATACTTTATTAACAATTAATATATCTTAAAGTTGTCAGACAAGTTATTTTTAGGACCATTACTATATAAGTACATGATTTTACTTACAGTATACATATAAAACTATATTGGAGTTCTTTGCATAAATTAAATGTATTTATATATATATATATATATATTTATATATATCATAACAAATTCGTAGATATTAGAACAGAATAATTTTTATGTACGTATGTATATAAAAGAGGCTTTTTTTTATATTTATACATGAGACGGCATAAAAATCAAGTCTCGGTAAAAAATAAAAAATGCGGTTTATTGGCAATGACCTATTTATAATAATATTAATATTTATATTTACATATATACACACACTTTGTTATTAATTTTATATTTTGATTAGAATAAAATTTGAACAAGTTCTCACAATAATTTTAATTAAGTAATTATTTTATTTAAAAAAAAAAAACGCATTTTTATTATTTAAGCTATAATTATTTTTTTAAGTCTCTCAAGTTAAAATGAACAAAAGCGACACCTGCTAATAAAAATTCTAAATATATATATTTTATATTAAAAGATTTATTTGTATAACACATATTTTAACTTACATAAATTTAATTTTTATTAAAATAAAATTTAGCATAGATTAATTGCATAATTGCAATTTAATAAAATATTTTATAAACGTGTAAACATGTGAAATATTTTTTTTTTATTGAATACTCTTGTATTTAATTAATGTAAATATTTATATAATTAAATTTTTTTTCGTATATAAAACAATATTATATATAAGTATTATTTATATTCTTATCACAAATCAAATAAATAAGATAAATTTAATCAAATACTTATTAGCTCTTGTCAAAAATATCCCTGTAAAAAAAATCCTTATCAACCATGAAAATTCTTATCATATATATTTCAATTATTCATGAATATAACAAATTAAATAATGAGTTTAACAAATAACATATTAAATTATTTAATTAATTTTGAAAATAAAATCTATTTCAAAGAAACTTCATTACCATATTTATTTTACTGAAACAGTAGAGCTCTTAAAATCTATATTCGTACGAAATTTCTAATAGTTAGAATTACTTAATTAAAAAACAAAACTGGTGATATACTCGTGAATAAAAATTTATGCTATACTATTAGTATATACTACTTTTGTAGTATATTAATAGCATTACTTTTGTGATTACTTTAAAAATTTTATTATATGAAATTTTTATGTAAAATATGTGTTTGACATTATTCCAAAACTCAGTTATATAATGTATTATAAACAAGTAAAATAATAACATAAATTATAGAAGAGATTTTTGCATTTTTCATTTTTGTGTTTTCAATTGAATATTTTCTCCATGTATGTAAGTTTAATCCTTTTGTTTTCAACTACAGCCAAAATAGAATAAATTTCGTTTGTTTTGTAATATCGGAAAATATGAAGAAAATTTATAATGTTTAATATGGCATCCATATCTCCAATATAAATATGTTGAATAGTTGAACTTTAATTTAACTAGACCAAGCCGATCAGATAAATTTAGAAATGTTATTAAATACAAGTATGTAGTTTGAAAAGTTATAAACAATGAAAAATACTTTATGTGCGTATGACATGAAACACGTTATGTGCTCCTATGTGCATATAATACATAAAAATGAATTTTTAAGAGAGGGTATAATCATATTTTCAAAGCAATATCGTTTTATATATTGTCAATTCTATTTATTGTATAAATGTTGTCTTCAAACATTTTGTTATTATGTACAAGTTTATAATTACTATAACAATAATAATTAACTCATATGCACAAAATAAACAAAAAAAAAAACAATGTAAAGCTAATTAAAATAAAATTAAAAAGTAATATGCTTAAATTTTAAAACATAAATTACGGTAATCACATTTTAAACATAAAATCTATTATATGGTGAAAAAAAATCTAAAGTATAAAAATTATAATTTAAAGTAATTACTCGTGCATATTAGATAAGTGTATATTTTATACTGTTTGACACATATTATTATATTTAGTTATATATATATACATAAAATTCGTTTATTGTATATAAAATTGAACAATATGCTTAACAAGTGGCATTAAAAATCTCGTGTGTTTATACTATAAGTAATATTCCAGTTATGAAAGTTTTGTAATGAAAATAGTCAACAAAGCTAACACCAAATGCTATTTCCAAATAAATTATGTATATACGAATTAGTATATTTTTAATTTAAATATAATTTTGTAAAATAATTATTAAATAATAAATTAAATAAAGTTGAAGGAAAATCAAATATCACATAATATATAGCTGTTAAAATCAAAATCTTACTATTTTTTGCAAACTAGCAATTGTAAAACGTGAATTTGTACCCAGTCTAACAGATCAACTATCAATCAACTATGAAAAATTAAATATATTTTTAATATTAAATCTATACATATCGCTCATTTGCTGCAACAATCACATAAATCAATTAATACACACTTTAAAATTTATTTTTCTCAAATATGCAAGTTTTGAGTTATATCAGTATTGCGCCAAACAAGCGATATGTAAAAATTAAAAACTATTAGAACTATGATTTTATATCATTACAAATTCCATATAATCAAATGCAATGAATACATTCTAATGAGTATATAAAATTGAGTACATGCAATGAGTAATATAAATTAAAATAATTAAAATAATTTAAAAAATAAATCTTCTTTTTCGAATTTAATTACAAAAAAACTGGCGACTATAATTAAAATTATGCAAAAGCATTATGCTCAATAATGAATACAAAATAAGAATTTTTAATTTCAAATATATAAGATAAGTAATTAATATTTAACAATTACTACAAAAAAAAAATCTAATTTATTTGTTTAAAATTAAAAAAAAATTAATTAAAAATCTTCTCACATAATAAAAATGTAAAACAAGAAATTTTTAAAATTAAATGTTTTCATAACTTCAGTCAAGTTAGTAAAACTGTAATACTCTTATATAATAATTTTTTTTTATTATTTAATTTTTATACTTTATTAAAGTAAAAAAATATGCAAAAATATTTTTTACCTTATTACTATTTTCAACAACACAATTTTTATGATTATTATAAGTGTTACTAGTATATATGAAATTTTATAATAGTCCTCTTATATTATGTATAAATGAGTAGTATATTAAAATGCATATTATGTATTATGTTATATACTCACCCATGGATTATATATATATATATATACATAATATATAACTATATTTACTTACTTTGTACTTGTAACATATTATTACTAAACATTAAAAAAAAAACTATAGGTACCTACTTCTAAAATATTAACGAAACAAAAGTTTATTGATCTGATAAACGTATAACAGAAACAGAAGTTGTCTTAAAAGTAAATTCATTCATTCATATAATATCAAATTAAAAAGGTTAAAGCGCATATTTTATATACATATACACATATATATATACTATTATAAGCATATATTTCTGAATCATACTCATTCATACATAAAGATATATTGAACTATAAGTGTATATTAAGAAGAACTTAAATTTTTTTTAATTATTTATTTTATAACATAAAAGAATTTCCATAAAGGAAGGTGCAAATATTTTAAAAATTAAGAGATAAAATTAATATAAAACTTATTCAGTGTGTGCATATATGAAATAAATTCCTAAATAAGGTATTATTAGTTTTTACACGAATTTTATATTTTAACCTTAATTTCCACATTAATTATAATTACTTTAATAAAAATTATATTTAAAAAAAAAAATGATATAATAAATTTTTTGTGAATTTTTTTTTTTTTTTTTTTGCTTCAGTATGGAATCATTTAATATGGAATATAATTTAGATGAAGCTTTAGAACGTCTAAATATTAAAAAAGATGAATTGGATTCAATGAGAGAAAATTTACCAGATAATTGTCCTAGCAATATCACTGATAAACAAGTAAGTTTCTGTTTTTTTTTTTTATATTTTAAAAAATAGGAAAAAAAAATATGTTTAAAAAATATTTAAAATAGAAAATATATTGTTATTAAATATTCCTGTTGTTTAATAAATTAATTGTAAAAAAAAATTAGAAAATTATAATCATTAATGAAAAGGATTGAAGGACATCGCAAAAACTTTAAATATTCTAATTTTATATATTGTATGTAAAATTATAGATATTGAAAAAATCTGGTTAAAAATTTGAAAACAAATATTTTACAGATTTGTAAATTGGATATTTGCAAATAATTTTTTATTCGCATAACACACGTTATAGTGCCTAATAAGAACCTAATAAAATATTAAATTAAGTATTTCATTTTATTTTAGAAAGAAGAAGGTATTCCTAAAATAATTGATGGCGTTATTTTGTTAATTTTTTAAACTTAATGAGTACTTAAAAAAGATTATTACAATTGTTTGAAAAACTATGTAATTCTAAATATTTATATTTATACCACAACGGGCCTGGATGGCCTATGCGTACGCTTCATATGGGATCGTGTTAATCTAAATAATAAAATCAGCATTAAAAATATTTTTAAATTTTCATACTTACTCGTAATTTTTATAAAATTGTGTTTTTCAATAATTCTTATAACTATAAATCTCATTCTTGACATATTTTGATTATTTAAAATTATTTTTGAAAATTTCTTAAAATTCAATTATATCCTATTATAATATATTTCATTATAAATTTCCAAATTTATTTTCACAAAACCTTGTAATTTTTTTAAATAATTTTCTTTGATAACCTTTTAGGGTTCAACTTTAATTCTGAAATTTTAAATTAGTATTTATTCATTAATCGTACTCTACTTATATTAAAATATATTGTGTAATAAAAATTTAATTTCTAATTAAAAAATCGAATTTAGAATGCAATTTCAGCTAGAAATTAAAAAAATTTTTAATTTTATTAAAAATACGTATGTATTTTAATATTGTATTTAAAGTATAAAATTATTTCATTCTTTGTTAACAAAAGTCCAATGTCAAATACCATTTTAATTTTAAAATTATGTAAATTATATTTCATGCGCCCAAAACTTAATAATAGCTACCATAAAGAATAACAATACATTATTTGTAATTTAAATTTGTTCATGAACTTGCACTATGATCAAAAAGTAAAAGTTTTTTTTTGGATTTTGTTTTATAAATTTACTTTCAACATTTTAAATGCCATTTTGTTGATCTATATACCATCTATACTATGTATTGTAAATAAGTATTTATTTTGTTTAACTCCAATTGAAAATTTTGTATTCAAAATTAACATGTACAATATTTAAATAATATTTTTTTGTTACTTTATTCTATTAAAGTCATTATATCATTAATATTCATAAAATGTTACCTAAAGACCTTAACCAGTGTTACATTTAGACTCCTGGTTTTTTGTCATATTAGATTGTATTATATGTACAAATTTATAAATATAATTTTACATACATATGTGCACATTACATTTCCTTTAATACACTACATTTTTATACGTAATTTTGTTATAGAGTAGATTATTTTTTTATTAGTTATTCTCAATACCATAAATGTTCGCAATTTTAATTCAATTTTAAAGTATATTTATAATTATACATTGATTTTAATAATATTTTAATTACTCTACTATGTGAATAATTGCAAAATAGGAATTCTTTATACTTAAATTTATTTTATATTTACTTAATTTTAGGTTGTTTACCTTATTTTTTTACATTGTTTACATTTTGTACTTACACACCTTAAATTCGAAACGCAAACTGAATTTATGAATTTGCTAATGAAATATAGAATAACTTCAATTACCTTGCTAGTCAATTTTTAATAAAAAAAATTTTAAAAAATAAAATGTAAAGAATATTATTTATATATGTATGTATGTAATTAATTAAAGGAAACAGAATGAGTGGAAAGAAAACTAAATTTATAATTTTGCAATGAGCTTTAAATATTTTGGTAAATTTTTTTAGATGTACACTTTATTTATTTACCAGCAAAATTATTCTATTTGAATATTGAATATTTTCTCAAAATTAATATTATTAAATTTTTATCTTTTTTATTTTTCATGTACAATGCCTTTATACATAAAAAATATTTGGTACATAATATGCACATAAGTTTCTATTAAATTATTATTTTTTTCTTTTTTTATATTACTCCCGAAGCTGCTTCTATTTTTTAATGCTTGTAATTTTAAAACCGAATATGCATTGAATGTTATTAAAATTTATTATAATTGTCGGAAAAATGCTCCTGAACATTTTGATAATCGTGATCCTTATAGCGACGAAATTCAACAATGTTTAGAAAATCAGTAAGTATTTTACATATTTAAATTAATTATTTTTATTAATAATAAATTTTTTTAAAAATTCATTAATAATTTTTGTTTTAATGCAAAATCTAGATATTATATCCCAATACCACCATATGAAAAAGGAGGATATTTAATAGTTTACCATCAATTACAAAATTCAACGCCATCAAATTATATATTTACAAACGCTGTAAAAACCTACTGCATGACAATAGGTACATACATAATTTGTTTTTTTTTCTTTTTTTTTGGATTATCATAAAAAATTATTTATAATTAATTTAGTATTAATTTTCAATAAAAAACATACATACCAGTTTATTATTATTTAATAAACATTTTCAGATTACGCTATTCAAAAATATGGTCCTGCACCTGGAGTTATTTTTATTTTTGATATGAAAACAGTTCGATTAATGCATCTTTTTCAAGCAAAAATTTCTGGTATTAAGAAATTATTAACATATTTGCAATATGGTCTTCCAGCAAAAGTATATTTAACAATTTAAAAAATTAATCAAAACTAATTTTTATTTTAATATTCAAACAGGTTGCTCGCATACATGTACTGAACACAAGTTCAATTTTTAATCGTATATTAACAATGATTAAACCATTTCTCCAAAAAGAACTTCTTGAAATTGTAATTTTTTAAAACAAGTAATGAATTTTTTTATTTATTTACATTATATATTTTAGATTCATACTCATCCTACCGATATGGATTACGAAGAATTCTTTAAAAAATGGATTCCTAAAACACATATGCCATCAGATTATGGTGGTGATATGCCCTCAGTTGAAGAATTACATTTCGATTTTTGTAAAGAGATTGTACTTAAAAAAGAATTTTTTGATGCAGAAGAAAAACAAAGGAAGCCTTAGCTTATCTATAAAATATGTACATATATTTAAAACAAGAATTTAATTTCCACAGTCGTGCCATTAAATAGGAAATAAAAACAAAACATGCTAGTACAAATTATTCGGACATTTAATCAAACTTTAAAAACTTAATTTCCTCATTTAAAAGCCTCTTTCAAATAAAAATACTTACGTTTTTATGCTTGTCATTGGTCGTTGCTGATTTCTCTAAAATACACAATTTACGTTACATGTTTCAAATATCCAACCAAGTATAAGTTGAAACATTTTTGAATAATTACCAAAGTAGACAATATTGTAGAATACATTAGATTATAAAATTCAATGATGCATACATAGCATATGTATGAGAAATAAAAAAACAAATATTTAGTTTTTCTTGTTCTATATTGTACCACAGAGTTGAAAAGGCACAAATTACTAATTCCAATTTGATTTATTATTAATATTGTGCTCTAAACTCAAACGCAGAATTAAAAAACACTTTCAATTAGTGCTAGGATACAATAGTTTCTTATTAGCAAAACAAATAGAATATATAAATTTCTTGTTACTACAATTAAAGAGCAATTAATTTTTTTTTAATTTAAATTTTAAAGAAAATTAAATTTTAATTATTTCTTTTTCAAATTTAGATTTTTTTTTAAATCAAAAATTACATTTATGAAATTTAATTCAATAACCATACACATTTTGGTAATTAAATTTAAATATTTGTAACAATTTACTTTTCTTATATTATTGTATAATACGTATATTATGTATAAAGTTGATAGTTACAGTATATAATATAAGATTTATATTTTTGTTTTTGTTAAATGAACTATGATATGGAATGTATAATAACTTGTTTGGATGTCATGATTTATTCTTTAAAATTTTAACTCTCTAATAATAAAATGTATTAACAAAAACTAAAATTTCTATTTTGCATATTGCTTACATTAATTAGCTAAGATTTTATCAATTTATTATTGCAAGTTATTAATGTACTGAAATTACTTACTGACATTTTTTACAAAAATTATAATTGTTATACTTCATTTCTAAATGATAAAACAATTTAACGTTTAAAAATGAAAGAAATTGTTAATGAACTTCATTACGTACTATGTTCATATTTATAAATATAAAATGTATTTATGGACGCATTTATAATTTTTTATAAACTCTGTTGTTAGCATTTTTAAGATTTTAATCACGACATCTTAATTTTTAGTATACGCATTTTATAAAAAAAAAAATATGATATTAAAAAAATTTTAAATATTAAAAAAAGAAACATTTTGATCCTAAGGACGGAGTCGTTTTTATTTATAAAGAAAATAAATTTTCCTTGTTTTTTTTTTTTCTTTTTTTGTAATACATTTTTATAGTTTCTTTTCTCATACAAAATTTATTGTAGTGAATATAAAGCGCTAGGAATAAATTTAATTTAAATTGTCAAAATATTAACTTTAGTATTTCAAATGTATTAATTCACATATTAACATTAAAGATTTAATATTTAAATTTCCATTAACATCATTATATATAATTCAAGTTAATAGCTATAAACTTATCATTTAAGTTTTCATTAAATTTTTCCCTTATTTCATTTAATATTGCAATTAAGAACTAGAAATATTGCAGTTAAAAATGAATTTCTCACATTACTTATTTCATTTTTCCAAAAAAAAAATATATGTTTTAATTGAGCATAAAATTTTTATAAAAGATAAAAGAAGAATATAAACTTTAATTCAATTTGTAATTTTCATTTGTTGCAAATGCAAGAATTTATAATATTGCCAAAAACGGAATCAAAATTATAATCAATCAAAAAACCAAATTATAAATCAGGTTTGGCATTTTTTATTAAAAAAAATTTAATAAAATTTGTATTTATTAAGTAATTCATATCTTAAAATCAAAATTTTATACCTTAAAAAATATTAAAAAGTCTTGAGAAAATGATTCATAACTCATTTTAAATTATAAAAAAATTAATTTAATTATACAGAATTTTGATTTAAATTCTAAAAAATGTATTTAAACATATTTCACATATTTAATAAGTAGTTTCTAACTAAAAGATTTCTAAAAATTTTTATATTATTCAGTTCAAATTTAATTTTCCTTCTTGTTTTTATATCATTTGTGTAACTCATTTAAAGCTTATGATATGAATAGTAATTTTCTATATACTTATAACAATTATTTAATTTTTGGTTACATATTTACCTATTACTATTTTAAATATTAGAGATTTTCATAAAAATGATTTTGGTAATCGAAAATTAATATAAATTATATTAAAGCAAAAAAAAAAGCAAATAAAATAAAAAAAAATAAAAACTTTTTCCAAGCAAAAATTAAATAATATTCAATAACATTTTATAAAACTTAATATGTATAAAAAATTAAAAACAAAAACTAAAACTTCTTCTTAAAAAAAAATAAACAATTTAAAAAAACAATTTATTTAAGACACAGAATCTTAAGAAGCTTAAAATTTATAAAGTATTTTTGAGCAACTACTTTGAAAAATATATATAGGTTTTTTTTTAAACATGTGTAAAATTTAACACTTTTTTATATATCCCTTTCAATTTAACATTTATTTTTTGGCCTCATCTGCTTTATTTTCTTCAGCGGGAGGTTTTTCTGTGTTTGTACTTTCTTCTGGTTCAGTTGATTTTACAGTTTCAATATTGTCTTTTGTGCTTGTTTCAGAAACATTAGCTTCAGATTTAACATTAGAAGTACTGGTAACTTCTTCATCCTTTTTTACACCAACTTCAACTGTTTTCTCTTCTTCTGAATTTTTGGCATTTTCCGATTCTGTGTTTTCTTTTGCTTCTGGAGCTTCAACATTATTGCTATCTGGTAATGTTGAGCTTTCAGAATTTCCAATGGTTTTCTCAGAACTAGAAACTTCTGATTTTTGTTCCAATTTGATTGGATTAACATTTTCACCTTGCTGTATTTCAGAAAATGATGAAATCTGATCTCCAACTGTACTGTTAACATCATTATTTTGTTCAGATGTATCTGATTCTACAGGTTCTTGTTTTACATCAACAAGTGTTTCAATTTTGTTAACTGACTCCTGATTGACAATTTTTGAAGAAGTTTGCAATTTTTCAATAATACATTTTAATTCGGCTATTTCATTACGAGAATCTTCCAATTCTTTTTTCAAGCATTCATACTGATCCTTTTGCAATAATGTATGGCCCAAATTTTCAAAAATAAATTGTATTGCATTTTCGGGTCGTTCTTGTGTATTGAAAAGCTTTATCAAAACTTTTGTAAATTCATCAATAACCCCACTACGTTCTAAATATTTACGGAATTCATCACGTCTAGAATCAATTGGCTGCAATTTAAAATTTGAAATAATTTTATATATTTCTGTGTAAAATTGGAATTTACATATGTAAGTATATATCTAGAAATGAGCATTTGTTAAATAAATTAAAATATTTGTTTTAATTTTGAAAATATTTGTTTTAATTTTGAAAAAATTTATTTTAATTTTGCAGTCTAACATAAATTTAGCAAAAAAATGTTCACAATTATGCAACCAAAGTACCTAAGAATTTGCTTAATAATTTAATTTGAAATAATACAATCATACAATAAAGAATTTTTCAAAATCCTAGCAATGATCTTAATATTGACTGTTATATTCCGTCAAAACAAAATTTAACCTTGTCGTTAATTAGATTTTCGATGTCACTAACAGTTATGCATAGTTAAATTAATGTATATGTAGTAAATTCAAGGTATACATTTTACATTACATGTTAAAGCAAAACTCCTAACTATTATTAATAAATTTTTAATACCCGCAGTTAGAGAAATGTGGGTATTAAAGCAAATTTTTTAAGAAGGAGGTTGTTCAAAATTGAATTTAATATTGATTTTATATATGTATATGTATGTACTTGGCATTTGAATAACAAAAATTGGAGAAATAACGAAAAATGAGGGAAGGATAAAAAAGTGATTATAAGTTAAAAGAAAATTTCACTTATTCATCATACATCAACATTCTTTTTCAATGTTAAAACTAAGCATACATATTACATAAGTGATTTTCAACAGTTAAGAATGTAAAGCTCTAAAATTCGTAATATTATTTACCCTCAGAAAATTATTGAAATTGTTCATGTACCTACATATTTATCAATATAAGACTTTTGAGTGCATTCCCTGATTTCATTTATATAAATTAAATCAGAAATATTTCCGCAAATTGTTATACGTTTTAAAACCTATTTAATTTAAAGTAAATTTCAAAAATTTTGAAAAACTCTGTTAAATAAAAGGTAAATCATGAATGCAAAACCTAAAAATTATTTGATAAAATAGCGCTAGTTATTTTTTTGTACTTTTTCAAATTTGTGTTATGTGATTTAAAATAATTTTTCAAATATGTTAAATTATTATTTTATAATTGGTGTAAACTTATAAAATTTTTTTTTAGTTCTATTGCAAGTGTTGAAAATTATTGGATATAAAATATTAAATATAATTGTTGTTTTTGAAATTGAAAAATCAAAATTCTTTCCCAAAATTTTTTTATTATAACTTGATCAAAACTTCGAGAACTTACGCAGAAGGTAAATTTATCGAAGAATGAATGTAAAATTTAATTACGTACATATGCCATATATACATATATGTATGTACATATATTTAATTAAAACAAAAACTGGATATTATACTTATTTAGCTAATGAAGTGGTAAGTTTTGATTTTAAAAATTTTTAACCAAACACACCATGTATATTAGCAAAAAAAAAAGAAATAATAACATGTTACTTCAATTATAAAAAATTTTGAAAATTTTTTTTTTATATTTTATTAACTCTTACTTTTTTATCCGTTTTCGATTCCATATATGTATGTATTTAATAATCAGTTAAACGAAAATTTATTTTATTTAATATAGCAATATTTACAAGTCTAATTCTTACTAAGTTTAAAATTAAACTGCTGACGAAATTATTTCCCTTTTCATTTTTGTTCTATCAAATTTTCAATATAAATAAAAGTAACTGTGGTAACAATTGAACCAAAACAATAAAAACAAAATTAATTCATATTAATAACGGTGAATACAAGTAGTCAGTAGTGACTTTTTAATAATGACTGTTATTTTAATATTTATTAAAACAAAATATTAACCATAAATACATAGCCATTGTGTATGCATATTTTTAAGGAAGAAGGGGTAATTTAAGAATCGTATATAATTAAACCAACTGATATGCAAGTTGATTCTATGAAGAGTACAATATCATATACCATTGTTTAGGGTACTTCGAAAAATGAATAAAACTTTTTATCAAGAACTAAATATCAAGACGAAAAATAATAGGAATATGTCGGTTGCAAATATGTACATAGGTCTAGAATTACTATATTTTGCTTGAAATATTTAAAATCACCCTGTGAATACATACGTACATACTCATTTATGAAAATAACAAACAATAGAAAAACTAAAATTTCTGTAAATTATTAATAAAAGCGCAATATGTAATATTTCTCACCAATTTCAAATGACTCGCTGTGCTGGCACCACAGAAATAACACAAATAAAGTGTCTTTTTTGATTTGAATGAAATTTTAAAAACTTTTGGTGGAAAATAGTCTTATTTTTAGAAAAATATTTTTATCAGGTTCCGATTTTTTATTAAAGATAATAATAATTGCCTTTCTATATTCATACATAATATTATATATAGGTAGTTAGTTATGAATAATGCTTAAATAAATATCCATTTGTAACCAGGTATATGTACGTACGATATTTTTTCGTTATCTCCATCACATAAAACGGAATTATAATGTATTGTAAATATTATCGGAACCATAAACAAAGCACAATGTATTAACATACATACCTACATTATATATGTAGGTATATCACATATCTCGCTAATCTTTAAATGGAAATAAAAGCAAAAACACAAATATCATGCGAAAAAGTGTTAAAAAGTGTAATATGAGTAGTAGCCGAATTAAACCAGGCCATGCTCTATAAAAAGTTCGAATATTATGTATATATACATATACATGTGCAGGTAAGTATTTAAGTAGGTACATACATACCTAATAAATATATGATATGGGCATGATTAGGTTCTATTATACATATATCCTACATGTGTATGTATGTATTTATGTAGACCAATTATACATAGTCTTAAATATACTTTTTAAGTCCTTTCTCTAACCAATTCGTTTTTTTAGTCCAAATGTTTTTTTTATAAGCAATTAAAAGTATTCATAGTGCACAAATCACAAGCATACTAAATAACTGTAAAAAACAAAATAATTGGAATTTTTACATATGTATGTACATCCAAAGGAAATCTGTTTAAAAAATAAATTATGACACCACTTATACGTAATACAAACAGTACCTTTACTTTGATTGTTTTCAATGTTTAAATGAAAATCACATTATCGAGAGTTTTAAAGAAACAAAAATTTTAAGTTTTGTAGATGCAATATGAAAACTTGTTGCGATCTTACTTAAAAAAATTTCTAAGATTTTTGCCACGAAATCCAAAACAAGATAGGGCCTATTTGTACATGGCTACAAAACTTGATAAACTTGCTGTGTAAATATGTATACAAGTATGTATATTTAAAAATTTGGTTACGTTACTAGGTATCATTTTATTTGAATATGTTAATAATGTGGTTACATACACATAACACATTTTGTGTATGCCCATATACATATGAATTTATGTATGTATGTATGTATATATAAACCTTCATTTGGTACAAATCAATTAACAGAAACAGATATAGGAAAACTTGCAAAATATGTGTATTACAATGTAAAATAAACTTTTACTTTTTAAATGCATTTATCTTATCAATATTTGTTCCTTTGTTTCACATTAAGCCTCATTACCACTAAATTGAACTTATTTCATAACAAAAGCATTCACTAATTTTTTTAAATCTTTACATTTAAGTCATTTATTTCCAATATGTAGTTTTCTATTTATACAATGAATTTTGAAAGAGCAAAATTAAACTCAAACCAACGCTAAACATTTTTTTTTACAGTTAAATCCCAAATTTACTTACTAATTTAATTTATTAATTAATTTAATCCTCAATATTATATTTACCTTAAATGACATTATGTATAAAACTTTAAAAAAAAACTCTTAATAGTTATAAATAAAATTTAAAAACTGTTAAATTAATCAATTTCCAAAGCTAACCACAAAAAATTTAATATTTAAAAATTGCGGCTGCGTAAAATTTGACAACTTTTTGGCAAGTTTTTTGTAATTCAAATGTCATTTTCTTCATAAATCAAATTTCCCAATAAACATAAGTTTAAAATTATACAATTAGTTTTAGTGACATCTTGTGGTAAAAAATAAAAATGTAAAAAAAAAATTAAAGTGAGATATGTTGTTAAAAAAAATACCAAATGAATTCTTCTTAGTTCATTTTAAAAATGCCAATTTTTTTTTAAATTTTATTATAATTAAGTAGCAGAAAGATAAATTTAAGTTCTACCAAAAAAAAAACTATTGGAGTCTCTTGAACAATATTTTCATAGTTAAGTTATCTAATTATAAAGTTTCTGTAAATTTATTTGATTAACCTGTGCTCTACAAAACATTTTATATTTGCTCACTGATGGATTCATTGCGACTAAACTGTTATATAATTGAATATTAACTTCTAGTAATGAAAAATACTTCAGTGCCTTTGTGATGATCACGATTGAACCTATATGACTAAATACTCCTAAATGGCTGTATGCAAAAGTTCATCATGAGCGCGCGTCGGTGGATGAATTTTTAAATCATTCTATATAATAAGAACATATAAAAGTAAAAAAAATAAAATTTTTATTTAAGCTCCTTAAAATTCAACAAAATCACCCACAATGAAAAAGCACCTACTCATATACGAAATATGAAACCAATAATGCATACACCATATAATAGCAAGAAGAAAAAAGAATAAAAGATTTTCTTTCTGTTTTAAAACACTCTTAAATTTCGTTCACCTGTTTGCATGTAAAAATTAATTTAGTGCAGGTAACAATTTCAATTTCAATCTCGTCAATTGATTTTCTTTATTTTTCTTCTTTTTTGAAACATTCTTTGTAATAGTCTCATACAAGAAAAAAAAGTATATTGTGGTTTGATGACCTTCTGAAAACTCTATATCTAATTCAAAGAGTTTTAAATGTAGAAAACAAGGCAAAAACAAAGGAAATTTTTTCTTAACGCAACTATGTGCCAAAAGTTTTATATTGCATAGTAATTTGCAATTTCTTTACTCTTTCAATAATTTTATTTTTCGTACATACATATACACTTACATAAAATAATACAATTCGGTATGCTATAGTGAATTATAAAGAAATCATGAGTATGTGGCTATAACTTTAAATTTTCTTTTAAACAAAACAAAAAAATTATTTCGTATATAAAAGGATATTTGGAAATGAGTTCAAGTAATCGAGTACAAACCTATAAATATTTTTACTTCATAGTAGTTATATGCATATACATTATGTACATATGCATATGTGTATATTTATAATAAAATAGCATGCATTAACTTTAATGCAAAATAAGGTGTTTTGTGGCATTATTTTTTAACATTTAATATGACTTCCAAGGTTTTGTCTCTAAATTATGCCTCTTATAATGTATTCCACACTCGTACATATGTATGTATGTTTGTAGTGACAAAACCTAGATACAGTGTCCTTTTTTTCTAATCAAAATGTTCGTGTATATGATTATACATATGTACATATACTTTACCATTACCTTAATATTTTAAGGTAATAATAAAATTTATTCAAAATAACGATTGAAATTAAAATTTATTTTGTCTTATTTTTTACAGAATGTTAATGAAATTCGGAAACAGTTTGAATACTGAAGTGAAGGAAAATTAGTACAATAGGTAACGTAGGTTTTAATTCTAAACCTACCATTTCATTTGAGACTTATAATTTCTGTTATTTGAGCAACATTATGACTTTTTCAACACCTCAATTTTTAATTTTCTATTTAAGTCTAACCAGCTATCTAATTTAGCACGTAGATATTATGAAACAACTTCGTAATATTCTTACATTCATATATTATGTACATAAGTTTTGAAATTTGATCGAAATCGCGTGAAAAAAAAGAATAAATGTGGTTGAATTAAAATTGCAGTAAAAAATTTTGTTTAAAACAAAACATGCAACTTTTTTATTTTGTGTTTAATTGCAATAATTATATGAATTTTAGAATAATACCATAGATATACTAACATATATATACATATATATATACTAATTTACATAATATGGTTTAATTACACAGCACGTGCTAAATTTAAGAGAATATTAAGGTAAGATTATGTTTTCAAATCAATTAATATTAAAAAGGCTAATATAAAAAGTCAGATTTTTGCTCAAAAAAATCGTATCCCTCTTTTCGATAGATAAAACCACATAATCGTGGTATTAAACATCATCTATTCTTAAATATAAAAATGAACGGTGTTATACACTACTTACAACTCTTACATTGCATCTTTTATATTGGCATATATTGCGTAAATCGATTAATTCTGAAAGATTATTCTTAGAGGTACAATATGTGTACACTAATTATTGCACCAAATACCCCAGCAATTTAATTTATTAACAACACAATAAATATCTACTAATCTTTCTCAATCTAAATTCCTTTCACAAATTAGTGATCTTCTTACCAAATTTATCTTTTATGCCAAATTACGGAAATATTTTTTATTTTTAAGAGACGTAAAAATTTCTTAACCCTTCCATTAATATTTTTGTTTCGTCCTTATGTACATAATTTATTTCTATATGTTCACAAAATATTATTATTAGTTTAAAATAAAAATTACATTCTTTATTAAATCAACGTTAATTATAGGTATATAGATAGTTAGGTTTACTTTGCAGTCATAAAGAAAAAAGAAACATGAAAAAAAAATTAAAATCAAAATTATAATTTTGTAAAATTATAAAAAGAATGAATTGTAGGTCAACTAAATTGTATCACCTCATTATACTATCAAATAATTTAAATATGTATACAGGCATAAGTACATACCAACCCCCGACGAATATATTTCATATATTATATATAAAATATAAGAATATAAGTATATAAATAAAATTTCAGGAAATACCTAAGTGTTTTTAAAGAAAACTTTTTAGCGATTGTAAAATATGAAAAAAACATTGTAAATATTATAAGTGCCATAATAATAGTATCTATAATAATAGTAGCAGTAATACGTGCAATGTACAAAATGCACACAAAACAAAAATTTAAATGTTTTTTTAGTAAACTGCTGAAAGGATATTAAAAGTATTTAGTATTATTTAAGTGCTTATAAGAATAATAAGCAAAAATATATTATTTATAGAATTAAAATACTTTGAAAATATTTTAAAATAAAAATTTTATATTTAAGAATTTTTAGAATATCGAAGCAATCATTTTGTAGTTATTTTTGATTCTTGTGTATTCTTGTATTCAAAATTAATTTAAATCTTTTAGAAAAATTATTTTTGTACAATTTATAATTTTATCAATATTCATTTTTAATAACGCTTTATTAAAAAATAATACAATATTTTCATAGTCTATTTAAAAATTTTTTTCATAAAAAAAAGTTATTCTTGTGTGTTATACATAGCTCCTTCTTTACCAATTAAAATCTGAAAAATAGTTTTCAATAAAAAACTTTAAAATAAATCATAAACAGTTTTTTTACAAAATTAAAATTCTATCAAAACTAAGTATGTATAAAAATATATTTTTTATTATTTTGCTATCACTAAGAAATTGTGAATAATTTGCAGATTATTAATTATGAAAGAACCTAAAAATCATGAAAAATTAGAAAAGCATACCATATTTAAACAGAAGGCAATTAATGATTATAATAAACAATTAACTTGTTCAAAAGTTCAAAAAAATATTCAGACTATAAAGTCAAATACTAAAAAGATTTTAGAAATAAAAGAAAATCTTAAGTCCGATAATAAAACAGATTATTTATCAAATAAAATAACAAAATTTATGGAAGAAAATGAAGAATTTTCATCAGATGATTCCAACTTTTCTGATGGTAATTTCCGATATCTTACAGTTTCACAGTTACATATATTCGATCTAGATAAAGAATATTATCAATTTCTATGATTAATGAAAGTTTACTCTTACTTGAAAAAAAAAAATTTATTAAAATTTTTGTTTTTTTTTAAATTTTTAAAATTAAAAAATTTTATATTTTATTATACAAAATTTTTAATATTTTTTTTTTAAATTTCATATTAATTTTGTGCAGAATCGGAAAGTTCAATATCATCTACAAGTACAACAACTTACAGTAGCGAAATAATTAAATCTAAAAATATTTTATTGCCTATTATACTAAAAGTGGATAAATCAGAACCGGATATAGGAAAATCTTTGCAAAAGGATATAGCGTAAGTTTAAGGATGTAGTTTAAATATAAGTTAATTAATGTATATAAGTTTACTACTACAGAATAATAACAGTACTCTAAAAATTCGTTCTATTTTTTTGGTATTATTTTTAGAATATCAAGTAGCCAAACGGAAATCAATAATGAAAAGCTGGAAAAAAATCAGAAATCTAGTAGAAAAGGAAAGTAAGTTTTATTTAAATATAGACCTGAATTTCTGTACATTGGCATACTGAGGGGCATACTAATTGCATAATTAGTTCCTTCTAGTTTTGTTTCTTATCATAAAATTTAAAAGAGCTTGAAAAATATTTTTACTAATACATTATGTATGTTCATATAATACGGGAAATTCTCTTGAGTAACTAATATATATATGTATAGGTATAGGAAGTCACGAAAATTAAATATGTACATATTTATATTATGTATTTGAAAACACATAACTTTTTATCATTCTTTAAATATTTGATGTTTTTTTTTAGAAAAAACCGTTTATCAATTTGTATAACACAAACACGTTATAAAATAGTTGGAAAAGTTGCCAAATCTGTAGGATGGAGATTAGTTCGATTTTCAGGTCATTGGAATATTTTATGGGTGGATACTGATCCTGGTATTGAAACATATAAGGATATGAAACGATATCAAAAAGTTAATCATTTTCCGGGAATGCAAGAAATTTGCCGAAAAGATTTATTAGCAAGGAATTTGGGGAGATTATTGAAAATTTATCCAGAGGAATATGATTTTTATCCAAAAACTTGGTGTTTTCCAGCAGAGTAAAAATACTTAAAATCATAATTAATTTATACAAATATAGAAATACAAAAAATCTTGTTTTTTTAAACGATACTACATACATATATACATACATATTTTCATTTTAGTTACATGGAAGCGGTAAATTTTAGTAGAGAACATAGAAATAAAACCTTCATATTGAAACCGGATGCAGGAGCACAAGGTCGCGGAATATTTTTAACAAAAAATATAAAAGAAAATGTTAAACCTACAGAGCGTTTAATTTGCCAACTATACATTAATAAGGTAAAAATCTTTCTAAGTATTGTATACTTCAATAGTAATATGTATTACTTTAAAATTTAATACAGCCCTTACTAATTGATGGATTTAAATTTGATTTACGAGTGTATACATTAATAACAACAGTTGATCCTCTTAGAATATTTGTTTATAACGAAGGTTTAGTCCGAATGGCTACAAGTAAATATAAGGAACCAAATGAGTTTAATGTTTCAGATTTATTTATGCATTTAACAAATTATTCAGTAAATAAACGAAGTGATAATTTTTCACATGATGCACAGCTTGGTAGTAAACGAAAGTTTAGTTCTTTACATCGTAATCTTATAAAAGAAGGTTATGATATTGATACATTATGGCGGAATATTGATGATACAATTATTAAGACAATTCTGAGTAGTTGGCCTATGTTAAAACATAATTACAGAGCATGTTTTCCTTGTCATGACGTAATGCAAGCATGTTTTGAAATTTTAGGCTTTGATATTTTAGTAGATCGTAATCTTAAGCCGTATATTTTGGAGGTGAATCAATCACCAAGTTTTTATACTGACGAACCAGTTGATTATGAAGTGAAGGAAGCATTAATTAGAGACACGTTAAATTTATTAAATATATCATTGATTGATAAAACAAAAATAATAAATGAAGATAAAAAACGAATTAAAATGAGATTATTAACGAATAGGAGAAGAACTAAATTAAAATCTTCATATAGGTATTTTTGAATGAATTTATAAACAATTACATACTTATACCTTATCTACTTACCTATGCTTATTGTTTCTCCTTTTTCTTTTCTATCAGTAAAGATCACTTGACAAATCCTTCGATTATTAGTCCATTAGGGCAACAAATTGCTTGGGAAGAAAGTCATTTAGGTGGTTTTCGACGAATAATGCCAGCACAAACGGATACACATAAATATTCCCATTTGATTCAATCACAAAACCAAGCATCAATATATTCTGAAACTGCCGCTAGTAAAAGGCGTGAGGAGGCAGCTAAGCAAATGAGAATAGCTATATTAGAAAAACAAAGGCGAAATCAAGCTATGATCTTAACAAATAAATCTTTAAAGAGGAGAATTGGAGCGCCATCATTAAGAAAATCTAAAGAAAATTGTGCTCTTAAAAAGCTATGGTCTAATGGGGGAGTAGTAAATGATTTTGAAGAACGTGAAAGAAGAAGACTTTTATTAGAGAGAGAGGAAATGTTAAGGCAAAGTGGTGTGCTTAATTTGGTAATTAAAAAAATAAATTTCACATAAATAGATTTTATGTCTTTAATAACAATATTCTATTTTAAGTACATAATTACATTAAAACTTGCAGCTAATCCAGAGAGAAATTGTTTATACCTTTACATTACCTTTTCTATCTTAAAACCAATTTGTTTGTTTTTTTTGTAGATATTGGAAACATTTCACAAAATGAGAATATTGAGTGATTCAGATCATTTAAAATTTAGTGAAGAAATTAAGGGATTGAATCAAAAAGTTGATCAAGGCCACCACAAATTAAATTTACAAAATCTTACATGTTATACAGCCACAGTTAATGATTTTACTGTGAAACGTATTTTAAAAAGCAATTTTAATACGAATATAGCTCAAAATAATGAAAAATTTTCAACACTACCTTTAGTTACATTGTAAGTTGAAAAAATTATTTTCTTATGTGTAAAAATTCAAGTAAAAAAATACATACATATTTTAAATATAAAATAATTGAAGTAATATAATGATGTATAAATTTAAATCACATGCAGGAAACTACAAGATAAATGTAAGAACCAACTAAATGGTATTTTAAAAGTATCTAAAACCAATTCATGTATTTCTCAAAATATAAAAACATCCGCTCGCACAAATTCGTCTTCGAAAGAATTAACCCAACATAGATCATCCAATCAACATCCTATTATTAACCCATATGCCAAAAAAAAGTATACTGAACTACTTAATAACTTTATGCAAATTCCTATTTGGAAATGTTACAGAAAACCTTAGCGATACACGTAACAGAGTCCATAAGAGTTGAAAAACATACATATGTATATATATTACTATATTGCTTTTTCTGAAAACATTATCCTTAAAATTAAAATTGCAAAACTTAAAAATTGTACATTTCATTTAAAAAGAAAGCTTTGCACTTCTAATTTAAGAACTACATTTTCTAGAAAAACGTCTATGTACACATGTGTGTATGTTAACTTTTGAATATAATTTACTACATTATTTAACAACCATTTTCTGATTTTAATTATTTTAAACATTGGTTATGTATTTGAATAATAAATCTAACTCGAATTCTATGGTAAATATTTAAAAAAATAACGAGAAATATTGCATGATTTTATTCCAAATTTAGTTATACTTTAATAAAAGAAAATTAATTCCCGACAAAAATGAAGAAGTTTAAAAACTTTAAAAGAATTTCGTACTGACTATGGTTTAACTTACGTTTTGTAAACAGAGCACATACCCAATAATTTATTCTAATTTTTATATTATTAAAATATTAGCAAAACAAAAGCAAAAATTTCATTCGATTAAAATAAAGTGAGATAAATTTTTTTCTTTTTCTATTACATTTAGAATTGATTCTGTTAGAATTAGACCTACAACTTAATATGTAAATTTTTAATATTTTTATAAATTTACCTATGTATTTAATGTTATTAATATTATGTATTATTATAAAAATTTTATTTTTAAATTCTCAAACATTTTTTATTTAAAATCAGACCTGGCCAAAAAATTCATTTAAAAATCATGAAAGTTATCTAACATCGTTGTAATTTTTTGTGTAATCGTTTTTTCTTCAAGATTATTTTAAATTTCAAAATCTATGTTGATCTCATGAATTAAATATGCCACAATACACCAATTTTTCACTTATCAAATACATAACAATGTAATATCAGCCCAAAAAATTTTTGTTAAAACTAAAAATTAGAAAATATTTAACGTACATTTTTGTCATATAAAAGATCAAGATGTACATACTTAAAATTTATTATTGAAACTATAATTGAAATAATTTTCAATATAAAAAATCTTGTTTTAGAAAAACTTTTAATTCATTGAAGTTTTCGAAAATCTTTGTAGAAAATGATTATTATTTAATGAAATTTGGGTATTATATTAATTTAATGCATTTATAAAAAATTGTTTCTAGAACTCAATAAATATTTTAGTTATTAAAACACATATTATGTAAGTAAAAGCATTTGTAATACATTGTACACAAAATTGTTTAAGTAAATAAAGAAAAAATCCAAACATAAAATTTCACAATTATATTTGAATTTATACAATAAATACAAAAAAAAATTAAAATAAAAATACATGGTTGTTTTTTCGATTTTTTTTTTCTTTAATACACTTATGAACTAATAACTTTTTGATTTTGTTCAATTATTTATAATTATTTTAATAACAAAATACAATAAAATTTTTTTAACAAGGCAACCTTTATTCTTTTTTTTTTTCAGGTATTTTTTTACAAAACATAATTTTTTTATTTTTTGACATAATTCTTTAATAAAATTTCGTTAAATTAAAATTTAAAGTAATAAATAATAATTATGTATTTAAAATCCAAAATGAAATCATAATATCGAGAAGTTTTATTTTTTTTTCTTCTATTTTTAATTATTTTTCCTTTTTATTGTTATTTCATTCGTTTTTTCACGTAAATTTTACTTTTTTGCAATAATGCAAGTTCTTAATTTCTATTTATCATTTTTACAATGAATATTTTTGTAAATAATAATACATGGGTATTATTTAATTAAAATTGAAATTCTTCAAGTCTTGCTAATTAACCTGATATTTTATATGCAGTGATACTTTCTAATTAAAAATGAAATTTCTATATATGTAGATCAGCAAACATTGAATTGCTTTTGAGAAGTTACATATTATAAAGATACTAAAAAAAAATTTGTTGTGTTTTTTTAAAATAATTAACACCACAATATCCAAAATGTTTCTTTTTTTTTTTTATATATAGATTGCTTCTTTTTCGTGCCATAGAGTATCATCAAGTGTTATTTAATTTTGAAATTTTTATCCCGTTTTTTTAAGTAAACGGTATTAAAATCTAAATTTTAATTTTGAATATATGTATGCTAGATAGCACTTTTTTAGAAATTACAAATTGTTCAATGAAATACTGATACTTAATGTACACTAATGTAATTTCTTTCACTTTATTTGTTTGTTTATCTGTTAATGATACTCTTTGTAGTAAAAATAATGCCAATTATAATTGATTCACATAACACATTTTTAGTACTTATTGATTTTAATTTAATAAAGAATTCAAATTATCAAAAAGATATAATGAGTAAATTATTTGTTCAAATGAATAATTCAAATTCAGTACAATATGAGCATCTTTCTTTCATTAATTTTAATTTAAACAAAAATAAATTAAAGCAAAGTTGTGATAAACTTAAATTATTTCTCAGTTTTTTTATGGCATATACGTTTGGATGAAACTCTTACATATAATAAGTAATTACAGTTTAATAATTTCATCTTATTTTTCTATTTTTTATATTTTCTTAATTTTTTCTTAAAATTTTTATTTTAATTTCTTTATGTTTTAGTTTAAATATATTATTTAAAAAAGAATATCTGTACAATTTACATCATTTTGACTAATCCTGATACCAGAAAAAATAAAATCATTCTTTTTACAAATAATAGCAAAAGTTGTTCTTTTTTCTTGCTCAGTCAAGAAGTTTTGTGTAATAACAAAAATTAAAAACCTATTGGTTAAAGCCAAAAATGAAAAGTTTATTTTTATTTAAATAAAGCATAAATGAAAAAGTTTAGCACACTAAAACTGAAAATGGACAATATACAATAAATTTCAATGTACATATTAATGTAAACTATACGAGTTCCTAAAATCACTTGATTGTAATATTATAAATATGGACTTTTCTAGGCTCGTTACTATTTCATATGCTCGGAAAGGAATATATCTATGTAAAAGAAATATAATATATAAATATATTAAATCTCTTTCTTAGCATTAAAAACAATTAAGTTACTAATATACCAACTAGATATGTAAAAATAAAATGTCTATTAATTCGGTAAAAGCACTTGATTATTGGTTGTCATACATTCTGTACGCTACACATGCACGTTATCAAAGCAGACTTTCAAAAGAAAATTTGGGATAAATATTAATATTTTCTATAAATATTTATCGATCTTCATTATCTACAATATTGATGTAGATTTTTGACGAGATTCCGATAGTTAGGCAATGTTAGGATTTGCTTTGCAATTAAAATTAAATTAAAGTTTTTAGTTTAAATTAAACTTAAATACTAATAAATTTTAAAATTTTATCAAAACTTATTTTAAATTTATTATATAGCATCCAAAACAATATGATTTTATTTAAAATGAATTCTGAGCATTTCAATTTTCGGTTAAACTTCTCAACTTCCTTATATTTTTAATAAGGCATATACTAGATTAGAAATTTTCCATCTAATTTCGAATTCTCTTATAAATCCAAATTTGTATCAGAGTTAGAGATGTAAAATTTTTACTTAATTTAAGAAAATATTCAATGATATTAATACTTTTTTTTTACTCAGTTGAGTTTTATTTTTTTTTTGTTTGAAATTTAAATTTATTTTTTTAACTAATTATCTTTAAACTGTACAACTATTTAAAATTTAAAAAAAGTCCTTATGTCGATGGATTTCTGTTATATTTTTTGTTCACTACTTATATTAAATGTTTTATAAATAACCTTTCTTACAAGAACGAAAACGAAAAGATAAATTGTAAAACTGACTAAAAAATTACAATTATTTAAAATTATTTTACAAACTTTATAAATACATACATGGTTTATAATTTCTAAAAAAAAATTTTAACATTTAATTTTAACCAGTGGTATAACTTTTGGCGATGAAAACAAACATTTGTCACAGCACCATTCAGCGAACACTTCTTTTGTAAGCATTGCAAAAGCAACTTCTGTCATACCAACGCATGTTCTAAAATTTTATTTAATAGTATAGGAAAACTATTAAATGAATGAAAAAAGGACTCACCTGTGAAAAAAGAAATTGCAACCAGATTCGCAAAATAACGCTTCGTCATTATCGTTCACCTCTCTGTGACATGAGCCGCAAGGATAAATTGGCGGAGCATTTGGATTTTGTGGATTAAATATCATCGGCTGACCTGGTGGATAAATTTTTGCCGAACTGACTGGCATTGGTTTTGGGCCGCAAAATAAACCCATAGGATTTCCCATACCCCCCATTCCTAACATTCCGCCCATTCCACCCATTCCGCTCATATTTCCACCCATGCCACTTGACATATGCATTCCCATTCCGCCCATTGGATGATTTAATCCCGAAATCATATTGTTGGGCATCGATTGATGACCTGGTCCGTGAGGAAAACCACTGCCCCCAGGGCCCATCATTGGGGGCCCCATGTGCCCCATATGTTGCATATTCAAACCTCCCATCATATTATTAATATTTCCCATATTACCATGCATATTACCTTGATTAGCTGACATACCAGCTGAAACATTTGACATAACATTGGAACCTCCAGATCTGTTATTTGGGCCACCTGGCATAATTCCTGGCCCTGAAGACATTCCTGCCATTGACATATTACCCATTCCGCTTTGCATATTTCCGTGATTTCCTGGAATTCCAGGCATGTTTCCTGGTGAACCTGGAATACCTGCTGAAAGTCCTGACATATTTCCTGGAATATTCGACATATTCCCCGAGGCTAACGACATATTTCCGGGCATATTTCCTGGAATACCCGGCATGTTTCCCGGCATTCCTGACATACTACCTGGAAGCCCTGACATATGCGGCCCAGACATATTTGCTGGTCCACCAGGCATATTGTTAGATCTTCCAGACATTGACGACAAAGCTGCAGACATTCCTACTGGATTCCCACCCAAACCGGCAGACATTGGCGGGCCACTGTTAGGAGGACCTGAAATACCCATATTCGCGTTTATTGACATTCCATAAGGTGACATATTAGGCTGATTAATTGAACTACCTAATATATTAGACATTAAACTATTACTATTATTATTGTTATTATTGCTATTAAATCCGCTATTGTTCATATTTCTACCTGAATTAGGAAACCCACCCATTTTATTCATAGGAACATTTTGCGGGTTCATTACTGGAGGGTTTCCTTGTTGTATATTTGCACCACCACTCGAACAATTTCCACCTTAAATTAAAGTAATTAGATTAACTGACGTATAAACAGTATGTTAAAAAAATACACTTACCCACTGAGTTTATGTTTTGTTGGTCATAGTTTTGTTTTTGCATCATAGTATTTGAGCAAGACATTTGATTAAGTTGATGCTGTTGCTGCATTAATAAATTTGGGCTTGGACCGTCACGTCCTAAATTACTTCCACTATTTAACGGTGTATTCATATTACCCGGTCCTATTCCCACAGAGCCGTTATGCATGTTCATTCGAGAATTAGGTGGAATATGACTATTTGGAGAGGGCGATCCACTTTCATTGTTCATTTGTGAAAATCCTTTACCTAAAGGACTATGAAGTGGCGGACCCATTGCGCTACTATTTATTTGTTGTAATTGTTGATTGTGCCCGCTCAAACGACCTAAAGAGCTATTTAATGCAGGTGCCGAAGGATTATTATTAATTTGCTGTGATTGTGTATTAGATCCAGCAGAACGACCTGAAGGGCTGTGTAATGGCGGCCCCATAGGGTTGCTATTTTGTTGTAGTTGTATATTAGGTCCACTTAAACGATTTAAAGAGTTGTGTAAGGGAGGTCCCATAGAAGAACTGTTCAATTGCTGCGACTGTTGATTAGCTCCGCTAAAGACACTTGGAGGACTTTGCAGTGGCGGGCCCATGGGGCTATTGTTTTGCTGTGATTGATTATTTATACTCGGAGAAACTGAGGGATTATGTAGTGGAGGACCCATGGGACTATTTTGTTGAGACGGCTGATTAGACCCGCCTGCGGAACCCAAGGGACTATGAAGAGGCGGACCCATAGGACTATTCATTTGAGGTTGTTGATTGTTTCCACCCAAAATTCCAGATGGGCTATGAGACGGCGGACCCATAATATTATTATTACCATGTTGCGGCGACTGAACTGGCCCGCTTAAAGATACAGGTGTGCTATTAATCGATTGCGACATAGAGTTATTAGTAACTTGCTGTGTTTGTTGATTAGTGTTATTTAAGGAACCCAATGGACTGTGTAACGGGGATCCCATTATATTATTGTTAATTTGTTGCGATTGCTGGTTGGATGCATTTGGAGGAGCCGAAGGACTTTGCAATGGTGGTCCCATAGGACTATTCATTGACTGAGATTGTTGGTTATTTCCGTTTATAGAACCGGAAGGACTAAGTGATGATGAACCTAAGGGACTATTTTTCATTTGTTGAAGCTGATTGGATCCACTGGTGGATGCCGAAGGACTATGCATAGGGGGCCCCATTGGACTATTACTGAGTTGCTGCGATGGCGGATTCGATCCACCTAATGGACTACCCATCGCGATACTTCCTACGCTACTTCTACCAGTACTCATTGGAGATCCAACTGGCAAAGATCCCATTGGGCTGCCGATAGGTCCGCCAGAATTCATAGGACTGCTAACTGATCGTTGAGTGCCAGGATGGGGTCCTGTTTGCATGCTGTTTGAATTTACTCCTAAACTATTGCCTGTACTACCAGAATTAGAGTTGGAGGGTCGGCTATTATTGCTATTATTATTGCTTCCACCTAACATTGAAGACATTGCACTCATTGGAGATAAGCTTGGGCCCATGCCACCAGAACTATTACTCATGGGACTCATATTTCCCATTCCACCAGGTGACATAGCTGATCCTGAACCTCCCATCGGATGGTTTATAGGTCCACCAGATCCTACTTCACGGGCTATATGAGCTGGTATGGGACTGCACTGCATCCCTGGATGATGACCACCCATAGGGCCAGATCCCCCAATCGGCCCACTACTTGATTGTTGGAATCCCTTATTCAAAGTATTATGTAATGGCGGCCCCATGGGGCTCATTGGACTACCTAAACCTAATGAACTTGCAACGCCACCACGCATTTGCATTTGCGGTGATAATGATGCACCAATATGATGAGGATGTAAATGGGGAGAACCGTGATGGGGGTGCCCCATCGGACTACCCATTGGACTGCCCATAGGGCTATTCATAGAGTTAGTCATATGATTAACCATTGGCGAATGATGACCTAGTAATGATGGCGATGGTGGTGGTGTGTCATCAAAAGGATTGGAGGCTACTATTGTTTCACCATATGGCGTTAGTGGTGGTGGTGGCAGTAAATCCTGTGGTGTAGGTGGTGTTGTTTGTGATGATAATTGGGCAGTAGCTGCCGCTGAAGCTGCTGCTGAACTTGCATTCGATGTCTTTCGCCGTTTTTTACTTGGAGCGGAAAAAATTGGATCGGTTGAAGGGTGTTTAAAATTTGGCTGACATAATCCATTTCCTGGCCCAGGGAAACGATATGGTGCCATTCCTAAGTTATGAGTCATAATGCAGTTTTATTGTAGTAAAATATTCACTCAATATTTTTTCTTCAGAATTTTCTAAATATTATTTTCCTTGGAGTTTAGTTTAATATTTTAATGTTATTGCTTTTTAAATTAGTTTGACAATCCAAGCATTTTGACAACAAAGCTATTTGATATGCTTACATTTTCGTTCCTTCGTTAACAGATCAGACAATGGTTCGAAATGAAAAAATTGCCTGAAAAAATAAACATATCTGTTGGTATATTTACAAAAACACAATTATATGATGAACAATTTATAAAGGTTAAAATTTATTTCGCATTTTAAGCATGAAAACTAAATTTTGTAAAATATGTACATATGTACAGGTAATATAAATAAATATATGCACTTTTGGTAAAAAAAACAAACACATTTTTGCTGTAGTTACAATAAACTATTTAGTTCCATACATTTTTCAGGTGTTTGAATGAAAAGTAGCTGGGTACGTACCTAGGTACATTGTATAGGTAAGTATTCAGGTACCTACACACATTCCCATTTTAATTTTGATAAATTATTTTATTTTAAGAAATTTTAACCACATGTCATGTAAATAATTTTAAATTTAATATCATTACGTAAAATTAATATCATAGCACTAAAAATTTAATTTCATCTGCCAATTTACATATATATTAATTATGGAAAAAATTGTTTGCATCAATATAAACGATAATAATATTTTGATACTTGACGGAAACGATGTAAAAAATTAAATATTTACATGAAATAATACGAAAAAATAAAAATCTTTTTTAATATTATTTCAATGAAAGAAAATTAACATCAGAAATTCAATAAACTTTCAATGGTTTTTACGACCTGCCTTTAGCAGCCATTTAAAATTTCATAGTCTACTTCAGCAATAAAAAACAAAAACAAAAAAACAACAAAATCTTTTAATCCATATTGTACATTATAAAGATTTTTATATTTTTCAATACATTTGGAAAAAAAATTTAAATTAATTTAAACTGTTTTAAAATATACAAACCTTGTCATCTTAATAAGCTACATTTAATTTGTCAATAAGTTAAGAAAATTTACTTTTGCAAAATATAATTTTTTACTTTTCATTTAACTTTAATTTTGAAATATGTATTCTTTTCTCTTACACACTTATTAAATTAAGATATTGAGAACTGTCAAATTATTATATTTATACTTGTCTCGCTTGTATTTAAGTACGAATATGTTCAATTTATTAAGTGCAATAAAAACACCGCAACTTATATAAAAGAATTAATTTTTTTTCAAATATTTTAAACTTTTTAATATGTCTTTCGCTATTAAAACATTTAGTATAAATATTTCACTTAATTTTAAATTATTTTTTTAATTTTAGTTATTTTTAATTTCGTCTTTGTACACAACAATCTTATTTCCGCGGCCATTTACATTTCTCTTTCTGATCAAACTAAATTTATTCTGACATTTGATATTACGTGTTACCGTTTGAAAAAATTTTCAACTTTATCTTCTTTATATAAAAGCAAACTGAAACGACTGCTAGTTTTTAAGGGGTAGTTATTTGCTTTTAAGTTTTAAAGTCAGATATTTCGAATTAGTTATTTGTTTTAAAAGTTCATTGAATCTTCGATTGGTTTGAAATAAACTGAGCAGATTTTTATTACCCTTTATTTGAAAAAAAAAAATTTGACAAGAACTGTATTTAGTTGTCCAGCATAGCATATAAACTAATAATAAAATTGGCGGTTCCAAACTCTCAGAAAGTCGAATCAAATTAAACCTTAATGCAGAAGTGCTATTGCAATTACTTATCTCCAATTTCCTTTTGCCAAGTGTCAAGTAATGTGTAATGAACTAAAAACAAGCAAGTAAAGTACCATCTGAAGAGCATACTCTGGTTGTATCGATTTTGAAATCTATATCACCATAATCCATTTTTCCACAAATCTGGGAAAAGAAAACATATTCCCTTAAGGTCTTAAAACGGTTTTCTTGGCTTCAATAAGCTAAAAAAGTTGTTCAAATTTCTTGTGTGATTTGTCTATCAAATTTATATTTTGATAGACACCTGATTCAAAATTAAAAAATAAAACAATTTTGAAATGTCATTACTTACATTTGAGCGTGTTTTTTTTTTGCATCTGTCAAACTTTAAAATGTATTTCGATATTGTATTTTTATGTAGCTTAAAAACTTATTATCCTGAAAAATTTTAACATCCTAGAAAAGTTTTTATTTATATATCATTAGTTTTTTAATGGATTATTTGAAAACTAGTTTCAGAGTTTGATAATTGAGTTATTTTATTTATAAGAGAATTTTATTTGTAAATGTAAATGAATGTCATACTATACTGGCGCAAGCCGACTTGAATGATGTTTTTATGCAAAGCATTCAATTGCATTTAAATAAAATGCTAAGAGATAAATTTTGTTTCCAAAAAACCTGTCAAAATTCTTTGGTTTTAATTTCTATTATAAAAAAATGTGTTTTGTTTGTTTTACACACATAAAGGACCTTCGAATTATGTTACACATATTTTTTAATTAAAGGTAATGTTCTTGAAATGTGACAATTTTGATTGTTTGACTTTGGCATTTGTTACAATTGTAGTGTAACCGCTCCGGTTATATTTTAACTGGGGTTAAATTTTTATGAATTTAAGCTGACTGAAATTTGTGAACAAGTTAAACAATATCATATATAAACGCACCTTAAATGCTTTATCGTAAATTAGTACAGCCCAAAATTTTAAATTAAAAATATTTTTCGCCAGTAAAAAACTTTTCCCAATATGTACAGTTATATATGAATATAATTTATATTGTAAAATATTTATAAGGAAAATAGTAAAGTGTTAAATTTCCTGCAGAACACATTTTTATGATTTTACATCCAAAAAAGTTAAAGGCGGAAACTAAAACTGATTTGCTTCTTCAAACGGACTGGATACATCAACATAGTATGTACATACAAATGTACATACAAACATATAGCTTCATATGGATTTTACTTATTGTTGGAAATTCCGATGAAAGTTTTTCTAAAATGATAAATTGAACCTGTAAACTTAATATGATGATACCGTAATGAAACCATGAAATTTTTCGGATCAACAGAATAATTCTAAAGCAAAAGGTAAGGTAAAAAACTCTTAAAGATTACTTTACAGGGAGGATAGCCAGAAGAAAGTTAAAATTTCTAAAATATGTATTTTCAATGCGGCATTTATTGAAAAGTTGATTCTTTGCATTTTCAGTAACTGACAAATTTTTTTCGTCGTAAAATAAATAATAGCACAATGTGGTATAATTTAATAAATTATATATGTATGTATGTATGTATTCCTTTTAGTGTTATGTAAAATAATTATTTAAAAAGAATTATGTACATAGATCAAAATAATTTAAAATTAAAAGTAAATAGTTCAATTAGACAATGTTAGTAAATTTGGAGAGTATAGAGAAGAAACAATGTTTCATTGTACATAATCACTTCTCTATATTCATCATATTGTTCTTAATATAATCCGCTTTTAATGGAATTTCTTCTGGTTCTAATAGATCTTTTGGAATAAAATTTTCTATAACAGGTGAAACTAAATTTCTTTTTAATTTTTTGTCTGTATTCTTTAAAATATAACTTAAAGGAACACCAAAGATCCAAACAGATACAGCTCCGATAACAACATACCAATTGAATGATATTTTGTGAATTGAAAAAAGTTGATCGTCTTTCGAGATTGGAATAGTTGAACTTGTCCTAAAATTAACTAATGTAATTTTAATGTGGTCATTAAAATATTGAAACTTGTATTATGTTAAACTTTGGTCAATTTTAAATAACAATTTTCACAACAAAACATTTGCGTATATCATAGAAAAATAATGTTTCTCTTTTCGTTATGCCAATAACTAGCATAGATTTGCAATAATTAAAAATGGCTCTTTTAATATTGAGAACGACTAATGAAAATTATTATTTTTCAAGTTTAACACAACAGGAGTGTTAGTTAATTACGTTAAATTTTCTGATAATGTAAAACTGTCTTTTTCACAGCCATCAGTTGAAGTTGGTAACGGTATATATTTTAAATTCCCATTTGCAATTTCTATTTGAGCACCAATTACAATGTAGGACATTAATAATACACTTCCAACGCTGGACCAAAAAGCAGCCTGCAAAATTAGAAAATTTCTTTTAATTCGGTATTTTGTACATTTCATGTAGTAGGTTCTGTTTACAACAAATTTATTACTAAAACAATCGCTACTATTTGTAAAAAAGAATTCACCTTTGAATGGGCTCTTGGGTATAGCATTCCAAACATAAAAGTCCCGAGCACTGCACCTTGTGTTATTCCTACAATTGTAATAACCATTTGTAGAATAGATTTAAACTTTTCAACTAAAAATCCACCAAGTATACAATATATTCCTGTTAAAATAACAAGAGTTTTCATTATAAAATTAGCTTTCTTTTCCGTATGATTGATGTAAGGTCGAATATAATCAAAATATAAAACTCCAGATAGGGAATTCAAATTGGCTGACATTGTACTGAAAATTATTTAGTTCTGCTATAATATTTTATCTAAATACGAAATCAATTTACCTACCTTAAAGCAGCACTAAAAACACATGAAATAAAAATTCCTGGCATTCCTTTAAAATCTCCTACAATATCTTGTACAAAATATGGAACTAATTTGTCAGCTTTTTCTACAACCTTCAATATTATAGAAACAATTTGAGTTTTTAATGTTTTCTAATTTTATTTGGTTTACTTAATAAAGAATAAGCCATTTATAAAAGTATGCATTTATATTCAAAAATTTCTGGGAATGTGTCTAGGAATCTCTTTAATTTGGGATAAAATAACTTAAAATAATCTGGTTAATGTGATATTTTTAAACTTACACCAGTTTTAACCGGGTCACATTCAAAATATTTAGCGAACATAACGATTCCAGTAAGAGTATTTAATGACATTATAATACAAAAACCAATTGCAAAAAATGTTAAAGATCTTCTTGCGTGTGACAATGATGGTAGCGCTACAATCCTTTGAACACAACTTTGATTCAAAGCAATGTAAGTTGTCCACATGCTAATTCCACCAAGAAAACAATTCCAAAATGTTGATCGCGTCGTCAAATCAAATGTCATACTAAAAACAAAAAAATCCCAAAAATAAAAGTGAAAAATATTTAAACTTTACAGCAAAACTACAATATTTACTCAAATAAATTTAATCTTCCACCTTCTTGAGCTCTATAAAAAATGTTTTGTAGACCGCCAACTTTATATACACCCATTGTAACAATCAAGAATATTGATAATAACATTATAGCAGCTTGAACTACATCAGTCCAAACTACAGCTTTAATACCACCCTGGAAATTTAATAATTATATTCTGTTAAATTTAAAATCAATTTCAAAAATTAAGGTTAATTCGGAAATATTTAAAATTCGTTCAAAATTAATTTAAAATGTTTATAACTACTAAAGCACAGAGCAATATGAACTTACCAACATTGTGTAAAACACACATACAGCACAAACAATACCATTTATTAGATGTATGTTAAGACCGGTTACTGCAACGAAATATATTACAATTTTTTACAAAACAAAATATGTACATAACATGGTTTTCCATTTTACCTTGAGCAAAAGCTAATGCTGGAACAAATATTATAACTGGAATAACTAAGTAAATTGTTCCTACAAATGATACTGTAATTAACTGCCTAGTTTTTTTGTCAAATCTCATTTCTAAATACTATAAGAAATAAAAAAATATGGAAATTTAGAATACAAACATATTATAAAATTAAATTGCTACGTCTAGTTTTCAAGAGTGCATAAAAAAATTAATTTTATAATTTAATTTATTGTACAAACGATTTTTTTTAATTTATAAATTTCAGGAAAATTAGAGTGTTTATTAAAAATGTTCCATAAATTGAGGTCGGGTATAGACCCGAATACATAAGAATTTTATGTATTCAAATTAGCATCATAATATCAAGAAAAAAGAAAGATTTATATTTTTTTTTAGTTATCTTACACTTATTAAACTTACTTCATAACAATTTGCAATATTGTTGTGATAAAACACTGGTATGATAATAAAATTCATAATTGGCAATACGACAAACATTCCTATTGCAATTAAAGAATAAACAATACCAAATGAATAAATTTCAGATGGATACGCCATAACGGAAATTCCAGATAATTGACTCGCAACTAATGATATTGCAATTGGTATTGTTTTCATACGTCTACCACCCAATAAATATTCATCAGTTGTTTCTGGTTTTTTATTAAAGAATCCAAAATAAACGCCAATTCCTGAGGATATACTTAACATAATTATAAACAAAGTATAATCTAATGCACTAAAAGTAAATTTTTCTTCCATATTTTCAACATTTTCATCGTTAAAAATAGTTTCACTATTAATTTCTAGAGTGGATTCTGTAATTTTTGTTAAATTAATTATATCAAGTGACATATTTTTTATTATATTTGAAGATTAGTTAAAGTTGGCTAAAATTAAAATTATTTTACACTTAAATTAATGGCAACTATTATTTTTGACCGTCACATTTAACTCTTACTAAAAAGTGAATTCACTTAAACTCTCGCCTCTATATAGATTTTCAAGAATAATTCTTAATTCCATTATCTAACTTAGATATCATTTTTTAATTATTAAATATGCTAATAGATTATAAAAGAAATTATCTTTTAGTTCTTATATACCAGAGCAGCACTAATTCAAGTTTAAAATAGAACCTTCAATTTTTTATCGCAGATTTAATTTTTTATTGCATTGTACAGCTTCCACAACAAATTTCATTTTCATTTAAAACTACAATATAATAATTATCATAAAACAAATAAATTTAATTATGTACATATATCTGTATTAAATAAAAGTTTGAGTTATCATTTAAAATTTTTGAATGTAAATTATACGGTACACTTACTAAGTTTCTGTTAAAGAATAAATGACAGTTTGAAAATAGAATGTTGGAGAATCGTATGAATTACTATTGGAATCTTTTTTCAATATGAAAAGTCGATGTTTCAATAGCATACAATGTGTGAAGTATGGCCAAAGAAAAATTTTTAAGGCTAAATTTTTTTTGCAAAAACTTTGTTGCTTAGTGACGCTCTTAATTAGAACATCTACCATAGTTTCATTTTCTTTAAAACTAAATTAGAAAAAGTAATATTTTCCAGACCGCAGCAACAACTGACATCAATGCAAAATGAATATTTTTATGGGAACTATAATTATTTAAATTAAATCTAAGAATATAAAATAAAACCAAGAATTTTAAAATATTTTATTTAAGTCATAACTAAAAAAAAATTTTTCCTGTACAGATAAGAGATATTCAACAATATAAGAATATTTACTTGAACATTAAGTCAAAAGTTGCGAACAGAAATTTTAGAATCATTTTATTCGATAGTTAAAATTTTAATTTTCTCTTAGTTTTTTAAAACAATTTAACACAAATTTCACAATTTATTTATATTTTTCCATATTTTGTTTTAATTAAACTGTGTGGACATTTTTATCTTTATTAAAAAACAAAAAAAAAACCTAGAGGATTAAGCAATTAAAATTTTCGCACTTACTTTATAACAGTTCGAGATATCATTCTTATAATAAACTGGTACAATTATATAGTTTATGATAATAAGTGATAAAAATAAAGTGATAATCATCCAGTAGTAATGTAGTCCGAATTCATATCTGCGAAAATTTCTTTATTTAAATTCATCCATAAAAAAAATAAAATAAATTAAATAAAACAAGTAAAGAAAAAAAATTACCTACATTTCTGTGGGAATTGTAACAATAGACAATGATGACATCTGGCTGTAAAAAGTGGAATAAAATTTATTTATGTATTAAATAATTATTATAGCTACTTTTACATTTTTCTTTTTCAAAGGAACAAAATAATATTATTGCTATTGCATTGCAACTGCCTTTGTTAAGAGTTCAAGAAAAATTTTGTATTGTTTTATTGAATAACTACTAATTTTGGAATACAAGGTTTTATATCGAAAACCTCAATTCGTTTGAATCACCACCCCACAACTGCAGAAAATTCTTAACGAATGTAGGTGAATATTATATTATGAAATCAAAATCAGAATGAATGTTCTGATCCGATATTTGAATAACAGATATTAAGCCCTAAATGAATGGCTTAAGATGAATTTATGGTAGTTTTGTGTTTAATATTATTATAAAGTAAGTAATAGTTTATGTATTATAAACGTTTTACAAGTTTTTATATAGCACAGAAAATACTGTATATTTTGTTCCTTATATGGTTTTCCACACAACATATTTATTTAAAAAAAAGTGAAAAATAGATCTTCCCTTTGGATAAGGTCATGTTGGAAGGCAACAAAAAAAAAAACTTAAAAAAATCGGGCTATACAAACAGGTGATTTTAATTTCATTTTTTGTTTTTTAATATTTCTTTTACCTCTTTTTTAGTTTTTTGAAAATTTTACGCAAATTATAGCAGTTTACGTGAAAAAATAATTAAAAAGAAAAGAAATAAAAGTACAATTTAATTATACAATAAAAAACATTAAACATATTATCATACACCAGTATGTAAGTATGAACGAATTATTTTGCAAAGGTAAAAAAAATAATTTCATTTATTATGAGAAAAATTTCTAAGAAGTGTAAATTTGAGGAAATTTTTCAACTAAAAAACAATTGAATTAATTATCCATTAAATAAATATTTTCAGTAATGTGTAATGGATTGTATAAAAGAAAATTCGTGCAGCTATGAAATATGAATAAAAAAAATAAAATTATAACGATTTTTTTTTTAGGATGATTTGCGCGGGAAGAAAGTGCATCGTCTAACCACATCTGTAAACCACCTTATGTCAAAAATAATATGCTTCTACTGCTGTTTCTTTAATAAATTTTTAAAATTAAGAGATCGTAACAAGATAAATCTAATACTATAATTTGATTTTTGGAAATTTTAAAGAAATAATAAATTATTGACATCCGTGTGATACGCTGCTTTATTTTGAATTAAAATCTTAAAGATGACATACATGTATGTATTATAAAATCATGAATATACATATTTAAATTATTAATTATACCAGATATTATGAGATAAGTAGGTGAAACATATTTTGGTTTCTTAGAATAAACAATTATTTTATTAACTGTAGTGAAATAATAGATAAATAAAATATGTAAATGGAAAAGTAAGTAGAATAATAATATTTTTGGAGGAAATACCGCAGGAAAGTGATGGCAATTATTTACTAAGAACAAAACAATTAAACTAAGAACAAAAATTGCTTTTAAAGCTAATTATATGCTACATTATTATCCTAAATGATAAAATTTCTGATTTATGATAACATAAAATAAGTAAAATTAATTTTTTTTTTTTATTAATTTATGTATATTAGAAATGTTTGTATATGTATTTAATTTAAACATTTAATTATATAGTTTATTGCTGTTAAATTATCGCTCAATAATATAAGCTCGCTTTTGCTCTGAATTCTATTGAATTTATTACAATAATTAAAAAAAATAATGCTCGCAACAATTTTAATATTCTTACCTAGCAATCAGTGATATGGCAATTGGTATCGTTTTCATTTTTCTTTCACCTAATAAGTAATCTTCACTTGTATTTTTTGAAAAATATCCAAACAATAATCCAATTAGAAAATAAAAAATCATCATTGAAACAAATAAAATATGATCATTGATTGAATAATGAAAGTTACTATCAAATCCATTGAAACTAAATGTTTTATTCATTTTAGAAAAACTATTATTTAAATTAAAAATTTCTTATTTAATATTTTATAATTTAACAATTAATATTCTAACAATTATAATTCTAAATAAATAATTCAACTTTAATTTATAAAATTTGAATGTGTACTAATTTTATAAACTACAAAATTATATTAAAATATTTTTGATTTTCGAAAATATACAAAGTAAATGGTTTTAATGTTAGTAACAAATGATATTATTATATGATTTTGTCTGTGAATTGATAGTCCAATAAAAAATTGGAATAATTTATAATATTCTAACCACAAACAAATATATCGAATTCGAAATTAAATAATAATTATTTATTATTATTGTATAATCTTCATAATGAAATCTTAATAAAAGCTTTAAATTTTTTTCAATTTTTAAAACATTTTTACTATAATATTTGTAAATAGATCATATTCCAATAATTTTATGCAATTAATATTTTCATAAGTGTATATATGTATAGTCGTACAGAGTTATTTAAAAGTGACGTGTGGACTTTTTTTTGTTTTAAAAAAAGAACATGATTTTTTTATGTTTGAACAATATTTTCATAAAAATACATTGCCAGTAGTAATTTAAGATGAATTATGACAATAAAAATTTCTAATTTTAATCGATAGTAATAATTAAATAAATAAAATTAAGTAATTGACCTAACAAAATTTTAAGATTAAGTATAGAAGATAAGTTTTTATAATGATAAATTTTTTTTTAATATTCAGAGGGTCGGATTCAATTTGTTTTGTTGAATTTTACATCTATGTATATATAAAATCAGAATAACTTTAAAATTTTATCAATAGGGTTTTAATACACAAACCAGCTTATAAATTAAAATATTTTTCGGTTTATTCTATGAAGATTTTTCGTTCCGAAATATAAGTATAAATAAATTATTTTCAATACAACTATTTTATTTACAATAGTCTATAGCGCAGTTAAAAAAAAAAGTCATTAAAACGCAAATAATTCGTAATACTTTTAAGCACATTACACTGTTTCATGAATTCTTTGTTTTTCTTATGACACCCCTCAGTTTTTGGATTCTTTTTTAATATTTTTAATGACTATTTCCTAATTAATTATATCGTATTATAAACTATGAATTTATTTTTTTCGACAAATAAAAAATTTTTTTTATATTTTTCATTTTTTTTCTCAATATTGTAACTGCTACTCAACATACTTTTATTCTTAAAAAATATATATTTATACTTACTTTTATTTTCTTTTTTAATATATTTACATTTTAATATAAAAACTCCCAACGATTGTAATGGTGTGAATAATTATGAAAAAATTTTTATATTTTGAGAAAAATTAAAAAAATTTCCCTTATGAAAATTCATTTTCATAAATGTACGGTAGAGAACATATATTGTAATAAATTTAATTCGGATTTCTTTTTCTTCCATATTACTCATATATATTTTTATACGTCTTTGCCACTATTTATTTATCTAAAAAGAAAATAGGAATTCATAGAGGTGAATAGTTTAATTAGTTTTAGCCGTATACTTATAGTTAGTTGTGATAGTTAGGGTAAGGTTAAAGGTAAAAATTAAGTTGCAATTGCACACCTTCTCTTAATTAATTTTTTTTCACAAATTTTCATATTATAATGATGTTATTATTTAGATATAGAAACAAGTAATTGTACAAAAATTTTTTTCACAATAAATATTGTAAGTATAAGCCCACCATAGTTTATAAAAAAAAAAATTCACCATATATAAACATATTTTTACGTATTTTTTACTCATAATTTGTACGAAAAAGAAAAACAAGCAATTCGCTTAAAAAATTTATTTCTTTAATTCAATAGGCTTACATACTTAAATTTTATAAACAAAAAAAAGGAGTAGAAAAAAATTTAAAATTTTATCTGAGATTTACTTAATTAGAATCCGAATTTGGGTATTATTTTTAGTTGATTATTTAATTATTATTTGGAAACTATAGTTTATTATAGTTATTTATTTTATGAAAATAAGGCAATTAATTAAATACGTTTATATATGTGTGTGCAACTATTGTTATATTGAAAA